ACAACAAATACTGAATTATCTACATTAATTCCATTATTTTATTAATTCAACAATTGATATGAATAATAATTCAGTATTTATTAATTTTATCTCCTTTCTACTCTATTCTATCCTGTCAGGACAATAAATCCTCAGCTGGAGCTCTTCCCCCTGAATAGAATGTTTCTCGAATAAATCTCAAATATTTCTCGAATAAATCTCGAATATTTCTCGAATAAATCTCGAATATTTCTCGAATATTTCTCGAATAAATCTTGAATATTTTCCAAAGGCAACAAGAGCGATTTAAAAATCCCATGGAATACGTCACCTTGACGGTGATCCGTCAGTGGACGGTTTATGGCGTAGTTTCATCCCCCAGTTCGGTTCATTGGTGAAGTACCAAAGGGGGATATTATCGTTGGAGGTTGCAACGTTGGAAGCGCACACAGTTGTGGAAATCGATTTACGAAGGATATCTAAAGGTAGACCAGTACGCAACAGAAGGTGATGTAGCGGTTGAGATAACAATCGTACGTCTTCATTCCTGATAAGCAAGAACGAGGCCAGGCCACCAAGAGTAGTCATCAAAGTAAATATCCCCCCCCAAAATAAAAAAAAATAACCAACCAATAGATAATAATCATATGGTGACAATTTACCATGACAGTGTGATGCTAATCCACTTGGATGATTGTCATTCAGAGGATCCACCAACATCCAGGGAGCAATTGGTATCACCAGATCGGCATAATCGATTGATATCGCTATTTTAGTCTGGTTTTATCGGTTTTTCTATCACTTGTACACAATTATTTGCAACTTCCCGGTGATGATGTTGACTACAGCCCAGGCGAGCCGAGACTGAGGCGATCGTAATAAACCCCCAACTCGTTGGCGCTTGCGCCCTCTTGGAAAACACCGGATTCCCCTCGGATTTTTTCACTCTCCCCCTCTCGATTTTCCCCTCGTGCTATACCACCCACTACTCCACCTCGTACATACATTTTTTCTTTCACTGGTAGGAGTTTTTTTTTTTTTACGTGAGACAGTGAGAGGCAGCTTTCCACCTAGATACACGACGAGATATTAATTGTTCCCCATCTCCATCCCCATTCCCATCCCCATCCCCATCCCCATCCTCTCGGCCTCTCGTCAGGCACTGGGTAAATTGACTTTATCATTTTTTTTCTCTTTCTATTCAGCAGTTGATACTTCGCTTTCTTCTCGATTTACTAGCCGTCGGGGGCTG